AGGACTCAACCTCCGTCCCTGCATTTGCACAGCCATTACCCAATCCGGCTCAAACACTGACCAACCCGTCAGTTCCGGTGGCTGCATCATCGGCCACAGTTGCCGCTTCCACAGGAGGCAACGCCGACCTTCATCCGATGGTCTTCTACATGCATGACATACTTGGCGGCTCGAACCCCTCGGCTCGAGCAGTGACTGGCATCGTAGCAAACCCAGCACTGAGTGCACAAGTCCCATTCGCTAAGCCGAATGGAGCTAACCTCCCCATTAACAGCGGGGTTCCGCAAAACACTGCCAACAACGGACTCATCAACAACAACAATGTCCCGTTCCTAACTGGACTGAGCGGAAACACAGGCAATGTGATTCAGAACAATGGAGTAAACTTGATCAACGGTGGAGCCGGGTTCCCGATCCTGAATGGCGGTCAGCTTCCTCAGGGAATGACCCTCCAGAAGATGATGTTCGGGACACTCACTGTTTTCGATGATGAGCTGACCGAAGGACACGAGCTCGGTTCCGGATTGGTTGGCAAGGCACAAGGGTTCTATGTAGCGAGCTCCGAGGACGGGAATAGCCAAACCATCGTATTCACCGCCATGTTCGAGAGCGGCGGCTACATCGACAGCCTCAGCTTCTTCGGTGTCCACCGGACCGCCGTTTCAGAATCGCAGCTCGCGATTATGGGAGGCACTGGGAAGTATGTGAATGCTCGGGGATACACCACAATCAAGACCTTCCCGGCCTCGAACCAGCATAACACCGATGGGATGGAGACTATTATCGAGTTCACTGTATATCTGGCATACTAATATCTGTCTGAGAGAGTGGATTGTATTTGAAATTCTGTGTGTTTGCTTGAGTCGTCGTGGTTCTAATTCGGCAATTCGATTGAAAAGGCCGTTCAAAGAAATGGGTTTAACCTTGTATTAGCATCTTTATTCATGAAGTTGGTCGATTGTTAAAAAAGAAAATGGTATCGGTTCTGGACAATATCATTTCGACTAACCGCATCATATATAGTAGAATTCTCTGATTCACTTGCATATTTGCTAATGAATTGTCATAATGCTTCTTTCAAATCGTCAATGGTATCTGCGGACATTTACTGCTAGGAGAAATTTTCTTAAAATAGATGGATGCTGGTTGTTTAAGATGAGGAGGAAATCAACATTCCAATTCCTTCAATGTTTCTCGTATAGATAAACTTCTAATTTCACCCAACATCAATATTGTTCAAGGCAGTTTGTTTGAGATCAATCAATCCAGGCACAAGAAGAAACCAAAGGTTAAATCTGTAAATCTGGCTGAATATGCCACGAGGAGGAACTATGAGAAATGGTTGGCATGACTACAAGCAAAAAGCATACTTCACACTTGTATTGATTGACAGGGATGAAATCCTGAAAGGTTTGAAGAAGACCTAACTAATTGAAAGCTTGTCTAAATTCGTTCTCAGATCGCTCTGAAGAGAGTCTTTTGGTTCAAGATGTCAAATTTTTTACCATAGCTTGTCAAATGGTTGATCTCTTTCCAAATTGCGATGGGACTGCAGTGCATGCCTTCCCTATGCAAATCTTGCAGAACATAATCAACAAATAAACTGGCTTCGGAATGTCCGAACTAGTTCAAAGGGCTGTACATGATGAACAAAATCGAATGGATCTATCGGCATACGTGTGTATGAACACAAAGTACACGGAAGCATAGTTCTATCGACCAAGTATTCCTGGTAGTCGACAGAGCTGATTAGGTTGGCAGATTATCCATGTTAGGATGATACATCAAATACCATTTCTGTCTTACCGAACTGCAGTTAGTAACTTTTTTCTGATCCGTTCTTGTTCGGAGAAACTTCACTGGGGACGTACCCAAGACACAGAGAATGGCTAAATGGAGGAAAGGAGAAGCTAGCTCCAGACCAGTCAGGGAATTAATAATGGTCTGGTGTGAGGATTAGGTGGTCTTCTTAGCAATTATTTTTGAAACGAAAGCACCAGCAGAAACACAAAGGAAAGATTAATGCATTGCCAGCACCAAACCCAACTCAGCCACTCCATTTAGGCATATGAGATGGACATCATTATATAAACCCAACTATTTCTTCCTACTATCATCATCTTCACAATCATCATCAATTCGCCAATATCTCCCTCACAAAGGAAAGAAGAAGAAAACTTCTCAAGAGCCATTTCGCTTAATCCCTCTTGATTTTGCTCAATGACTACTCGCAAGTCTGCGCCCGCTCAACTAAAATCCACAGCTTCTTTCCTTCTGTTGGCTCTCGCCATCCAATGCGCAACGTGTTCTAGATCTCTCACCGAGGATGCAACTTTGTCCGCTCCCAATAATGCCGTGCCATCATTAGCAAATCCAGCTCAGACGGCGCCGCTCAATCCCGCTGCTCCTGTGGCACCGCCTGCGACTACAACCCCCACCATGAGCACCACGGTGGGCGGCACCGAGCTTCATCCGCTGACCTTCTACATGCACGACATACTCGGCGGCTCAAATCCATCAGCTCGGGCTGTGACTGGCATTGTGGCCAATCCAGCCCTCAGCGCGCAAGTCCCCTTTGCCAAGCCTAATGGCGCAAACCTCCCTATCAATAATGGAATTCCACAGAACAGCGCTAATAACGGACTCATCAACAACAACAAAGTTCCGTTCCTGACTGGATTGAGCGGAAATACAGGTAACGTGATTTAGAATCATAACATTCACCGGGAAACTTATGTTCCAAGCAATCCGCATTTGGTAACATTTATTCCAAATTAGGGACTTCTATGCATTTGGATCAATTTGATCAAGTTACAACCTGAACAAATCATGGTTATAAAAATCCATACAAAGATAAAAATAGCATATTGTGTTAGCGTTTCTTCACCAGACAAAGACGTGCTCTATGCATATTGTAGGACCTCCCATCTGCTCAAATGTCTTCCGACTAAAACATGATTGCGCTTCGTTTAGCTCAGTGTTAAAAAGCGATTCGTGTTCCAGGTAACGTCATTCAAAACAACGGAGTCAACCTGATCAATGGTGGGGTCGGGTTCCCGGTACTGAACGGAGGCTAGCTCCCCCAGGGAATGACCCTTCAGAAGCTGATGTTTGGGACGCTCACTGTCTTCAATGACGAACTGACCGAGGGCCATGAACTCAGTTCCGGCCTGGTCGGCAAGGCACAGGGGTTCTACATAGCGAGCTCCGAGGACGGGAACAGCCAAACCATCGCCCTGACCGCCATGTTCGAGGGCGGGGGCTACGTTGACAGCCTCAGCTTCTTCGGGGTGCATCGGACTGCCGTGTCGGAGTCGCAGCTTGCCATCATGGAAGGGACCGGGAAGTACGTGAACTCCCGAGGGTACGCCACGCTGAAGACATTCCCAGTTCCTCCGAACCAGCAAATCACCGATGGAATGGAGACTGTGCTCGAGTTCACTGTATACCTTTGCTGAACACTTCTCTCCGAGTAAAGAAACTCTTTCCTCCTGCTGGAGGTGTTCTTGTGCTTGTTGTGATTGCAGCAACTTCAATCTGAACAAATTTTCAATTGAAGATCGTCTGGTGATGTTTTCATTGTCCTTCTCTATTAGTCTTTTTGCTGTGAAGAACTCTGCATATCTTAAGGCAGAGAAACAGCAATCTCTCTGAATCCACATACATAGATGCATTTGCAAATGGGCATGCCATGAAAAGATTATCATCACGGGCAATTACACGGGATCATTCATATACTAATAGCTTACTAATACCATGTGTTATTATCGAGTTAAGTAATGGCTAATGGGGCTGCATATTAATCCACATAAATTAGGATAATGCATTCGATGGTTATAACAAATGCACGGGGGGGACAAATCGTCACTATGTTTTGGGCCAATAAGCAGAATAAAAAAAAGTTTAGTAAGAAAAAGAAATTCAAAAGCGAAAAGGAGAGAGAGAAAAAAAGTAGAACCGACCACAGTGGGAGTCGAACCCACGACCTTTTGATCCGAAGTCAAACGCGCTAATCCACTGCGCTATGCGGTCTTCGTATCACTCGTTCGCACAGAAATTTATAATATAATATTTTTTGATCCTTCATTTCTGGGTCCAACAGGCAATCGACTACTTCCAAAATTAAAGCTGTGTCGCTAGATTAAATAGAAGCGTGTTTCGCATTTTGACATTCCAAATAGCCATGATGCTGCTTCGTGGTCATATCTCCCAGGCTTCTCTCCCTTCTGTAGGGTTTTCCCATGGGAAAAAGTCCGAAAAAGAAGAAGGAAAGATTAAAAAAACGACATGAGGGGTTGGTGAGGGTGTGGCTTTAGCCAATTGGGGTGCGTTCGTATCCCTTTTTTCCCCTCATGTGTTCGTATTGCAATCCTTCCGAGTTCTCGCTGCGGAGCGTGTTTATACCGCGACACGAGTCCATGTGAATGTGTAATTTTCACATTGCTGAGCTAGCCCTTCTTGCGATGATTAGTCTAATGTTACTATTCTTTCCACTTAATCTAATTTGGAGACCCTCAATTTTAACTAATTTCCAGCTGCCAATGCCCCCTCTCGTCCCCGGAAGCCATCGCTGCCTCTCTCACAACGCATTCCTCCGCCCCTAAAACGAGCTCCGTTCGCCGACGGTAAGCGCCGTGGGTCCTATGTAGCATCTCGAATGAAGCAGGAGCTCGTCACGCGGTGTTTAGCTTACCCTGCGTAGCATCTCGAATGCTCGAACATCGTATACGACCGTTAACCTTAATATCAAATTGAGTGTTTCGAAGGGATCGTGGCAGCAATAGGTGTCCAAGTATCCAGCCGCAAAAATCTAAAAAGGAACACGGAATGTTTGGAAACATCTTCGATCTCCAAAGCATGTAACTGTTCTGTAGTATATGCGTTTCCTTAAAATATCGAAGGATGCTCTTTTCCATTTAAGAAAAAGGAAGAAAGAATCAAATAATATTGTCCACAAATATTTCTGTCTTTTTTATTTATTTATTGTTCTAACAAAAAAATTACACATCGCCGGCTCTCGACTTTTCTCCACGACGCCCTCTGAACAGACGAAACGGGGACGGCCAGTGACTGGACGACCGCGGCGACGCCGTCGACAAGCTCTCAGAGTCACCACCGGTGGCACGCAACATGCCGGCCAAGTAATTATCCAAATCATCAGGGGAGTATTTGACCGCCGAATCTCCCCTCGGACAGCTGTCGTGGAGCCGCCGATAAGCCGGCACGAGCTTCTCCGCCAGCGACCGCGCGATCTCGTCCCTCAGCTTCGAGTCGGGCACGGCCCATCCCGCCTGTTTGGCCCGAACCTCCTCCAGTGCCGCGTTGAACTTCCTCAGCGATTCCTTCGCCTGGCCGGAAGATATCTTGACGGTGAGATCGGGCAATGATGAGAAGACCTTGCTCCATCCCGTCCGCTCGTAGTTGCTCGCATAGAGTTTCACCTTCGACTCGTGCTTCTCCACCCAGTGCTCGCCGAGGAGGTGCCTCAAGTTGGACCGAGCCACCTTGTCGATGACGTACCGGAGGTTGTTGGCGAGGAAGAGGTAAGAGAGAGCCACGCCCTTGTACTGCTCGGCCTTCACGTCGAGCTTGCACAGCAGGACAAGAACGAGCCACGAAAACCACGTGAACATCGCTGACGCATCGCCGTCTCCGGCGGCGACGGATGCGGCGGACTCGCAGCCGGCAAAGTAGGAATCCGGGAACTGCGGGTGCTCAGGGCTACTGTTGACCGGCCAGTCGGCGAGTATGTCGGCAAGGACACTGTCATAGTCGGCGAGGAAGGCGAGGTAGTTCACGACGAAGCGCGTCAGCGGGTGGATGCCGCCGTTGGGGATAGCGGACTGCTTGGCAGAATCCTTCTGGATGGCTGCCTCGAAGTTGCCAAGCGTCGCACGGACCGCCTCTCCGAGCTTGATCAGTGAATTGATTGCTTGGGATCGGACAGCGGTTGTTGCGGTGGAGGAGAAGGTGGACTCAATGTCCGGCCAGAGGTTGGCAATGGCCTGGTAGAGGTCGAGTAGGCGGAAGATTCTCTCTGGAGACCTCTTGATAGACTTCGCTACCCCCTCTGCGAACCCAAACAGTGCAACCGCGGCGTCCTGTGCAATGTTGGAGAAGATGGAATCCCTGACCGACGCCGCGGTGAAGACCTTGTCGCAAAGGATCCTCTCTCCAGAGAAAAGCCTCTGGACCGCCGGCTTCACGGCACTCAGCCAGCTCTTGACCTTCACTTCCAGAACCTCCCAATCCATCTTTTGCATCTGCGAAGGTCCAATCAGCCTCTCGAACCCTAGATGATACAGTTCCTCATCGACGACTGATCTTCGCACGATTTTGTAGATGTCCATGCACTCTTTACCGCACCCGCAAGCGATCATGCAGTCTGCGATGGCCTTTAGATCGGAAACCGCTGCATTAGGAACTCGCTCGTCTTCCTGCATCACTGGCTCAGCAGCAAACTGCTTCGCTGATAACTCGTCCTCCGACTCATATTCAAAATCCGAGAAGCTCGACCGGGTAGAGGCTCGCGAAGACCGGCTCGAGACTGATTCTGGGTGATCGGGATACGGGAGTTGCGACGACAGGATCTGGTGGAACTCCTGGGACAGCCGCCTCACTGCGGTCTGCAACAGCTCATGAGCCCGCACGATCGCGCCCGAGTTCGAGTCTCCACCGATGCAGTGCAGCATCGCGGAGTGCAGGTCCTTGACCTTGCTGAGGTAGAGCTTGGCTTCATGGCGGCCCTCACGGAAGAGACGAACGGCACCGGCATATCCCGAGGTAGTGGAAGAGGATGGTGAAGACTCGGGGTTGGAGGAGTCGACGGCCCACTTTTTGATCAAAGGCTCCGCCCTCGCGATTCGCTCCGCCATTAACGTGTCGGCGAAAGGGTCGCCGCCGCGTGTTGGGGCACCGGGTCTCGCGGGAGAGCCGGAGGGCGATGGCTTGAAGAAGATGGTCCTCATTCCTTTTCTCGGCATGGCTTGCGTTTGCTTTCAAAGTGTGTAAATCTGTGTCTCTGTATCAGCTTCCCTGAACTCTGCAGATTTGAGAGATGATAGATAGAGAGAGAGAGTTATGTTGCCGCGAGGGTTGATTTGAATGTTGAAGAAGGCTTGGAAGGGGGATATATAGAGAGGGGAAGGGAGACAGAAAGGGAGGATTGCGTGCAGGTTAGGTAGGCGGAGTGATTGTGGGAGGAAATTGGAGGCATTAGCGAGTGAAGTTTGACTTGTGAAATGTGTGGGTGGGGATCGTGCGGGGGGCCGGAACGCGGTAAGCGGCTACGTAACTATGTTTGCTGTCGCATGGGGTTACGCCACCCAAAAGGCCCCGCCATGAAAGCTACGTAAGAAAGATCGATGACAGTTTGCCCTTGAATAATTTCACCAGGTGGCGAGAGAGAGGTGATCCCCTAAAGAAAGCGAACCACCACCTTCATTTTCAGGAGTTCTTTATAGTACAAGGTTTGTGCATTTTTATTTTTCACACAACCCATTTTTATCGCGGTTAATTCGATAGCTATAGTTTGAAAAATCGATCAATTATGCATGTCAATCGTGACGATAAATATGTTGTGCTTGAAATTCTTTCTCTCGGCATGCAGTTAATAACGATCCGACACATCACTTGATAAACCCATATTAGTAAGTCTCGCACTTCTTTTGTTACTGTGAGTGGGACGAAGAAGTAACTTTATAAGACTCTTCAAGACCAAATAAATCTTGGACAGTACTGAAATCAACAGAGAGCCGTATTTTACTCCGTTCTTGTCAACTATACCTCTTATTGGTTGGTTACATGTTGCGCAAATCGCCCACGCGTAAAAATTGACATCTCACTAAAAATGCAAGATGTCCATGTTTATAACCCACTAATTAGAACTATGATGGGAGAGAATTACCCCGAATTAGGGACGGAGAAGTACGGCGGTCATATACAAGTCACTGTAGTTAAAATCTGTTTTCTTGGTATTGGGTCTTCTTTGTGAATGACGAACCATGCATGTATTAATATGCTTTGAAGAACCTTTTTCCTTTGAAATGAAAGTATGGCGTCTAAATCAGTTTTCTTGGTATTGGGTCTTCTTAATACAAAATATCGTCTTTGCGTGCAAGGCAAGGGAGGCGAGTCTCCAAAACCTAATTCACACTATAAACGCTGTAAAAGAAAAAATTCAATATTTTCTCTTGTCTCATGCAGGAGAGATATTTCGTAAACATTCCGTTCTAAGGACGTGCTTGGAAACATCCTCTTTTGGTTTTTCGAGCGACCGGCGGCCAAGTAAATACCGACTTCCTTTGAACAACCCAAAGTCAGCCGCCGGGCAGCTTCTTGTCCGGCAGTCAGACCAAGAGGAAAGGGACGAGCGGGTCAACAAAAAGACTCCGCGGACAGGCATCGTTGCGGGTCGGAGCAATACGAGGTGACAAGAACAGAAGCCAAGACACGAGAGACGTAAAAATGACGAACACAAGCAAACACGAGAGCCCGGCCCGCGTAAATCTTACAGCTAATGATGTCCTCATCTTTTCCTTCCGTTTCTTCTTCGTAGCTGTAGCCAACTCTCCACGACCTCTCGCGGGGTTTAGGGTGCATTTGGTAATCATTCTGTTCCCGAAAATAATTTCTGCTCAGAAATGATTTTTTTTTATTCTGTTCCCGGAAATAATTTCTGAGCATTTGAAGGCGTTTGGTAACGGCCCAAAATTTCTATTCCTGGAATAGAAAAAGAACAGAAATGCGTTTGGTAATTGCACAATTTTTTTTATTAATAATATTTTGAATTTTTTAATATTTCTTTCTTTTTTTTCCTTTTCTTTTTTTCTTCTTCTCCTTCCTTGGCCCATGGCCGGCGACCGGCCACAGGCTTGGGCTGGCGAGGGTGTCGTGGCACTCGCCTGCCACAGGCGAGGGCTGGACCCTTACGGCCCGGGCGAGGGCCGCCCTCGCAGAATCTAGCGAGGGCTGGACCAATGCCGCCGCCCTCGCCCAAGCTGCGAGCCGTGAGGGTGGCCCCCGCCGGCTCGGGTGAATGCTGGAAGAGGCCGGAGAGGGTCCAACCCTCGCCCTTGCCGGCCACCGGCCACAGGCCAAGAAAGAAGAAAAAGAAAAAAAAAATTCTCTTCTATTTCTGATTCTTGTTCCTAGAATCAAGAATCAACTTTTTTTTTTATATTCTTGATTTTGTTCCAAAACTGATTCTGAGAACAAATTTGTGCCCGTGAACAAAAAATTTACTAAACGGATTTCTGTTCTTTTTTTGTTCTATGGAACAAAAGAATAGAATCGGTAATTGTTTGGCTGGTTACCAAATAGGCCCTTAGCGTACGAGGAAGCCCCGTGCTTTGTTTGTTCTCGAGTGAGCAACCCGTTTGTAGATTGGCTGAGCTAGTTGATGATGATGACCCGTGATGACGGTTGTGATGACAACCATGTCGGGAGGACGCGATAGGACAATTTGAAGGTGAAAACACTCGCAACTCTCGCAATTCAATGAAGAGAAGGAGACAAATAAGCTTCTTTTTTTTTTTATATCACCTTATTAGATCTTATCAGGAATGATCACAAGACTTGCCTTTCTATAGACTTGTTGCGTGACTCTTACTATTATATGACTTGTAAATACATCTAGCATTACATAGAGATAGATTATTGGGAATTTACAAAACATTAAACTAAACATAGAAACACGAACAGTCAAGATGCGTGCATGTTAGACATTTATGAATTTGGTATAATTACTATCAGGACAACCAAAGCCTTATTGTTATAGGCAGTTTGTTTTGTGACGACAAAGTCCCGCGTAGACACGAAGTAAATGAGAGCTCACTGGGCATCTTTCTATGGAGAGACAAATTGGGGGGTTTGGAAGGTTTGGAAAGGTTTGAACCTCCGTCAGGACTATTTAGAATTACAAGAATTCATAGAAAAATCGTATCTTGTAACCGAATTTCACTATTAATTCGTACTATCCAATGAGAATATGAAATACAACGGGCCATACCCTTTGGGCATATATAAATATAAAGACGTCTGCTCCTTGACCACCAACGGTGGCCAATGATGCAGCAGTTGGAGCACACGATGATCATTTTGTTTTAGTATTTTGCTAGCGCATGCAGTATCGTCGTCATCCACCAAATTGGGAAAAGAAAAGATCATCCCCCCCTCTTTCAGCAGTTGACAGCAGAAGCCCTAAAAGGCAACGAGGAGTTAACCTTTATTATCACGTCGGAGACAACATCCCATTGTTGGACATATGTCCCATCGCACTCTTCTGTTTTTGCTTTCCTTTGGATCGGCAATGGGTCGTACTAGTAGGTCAAGATTATCTAAATCGTTGACTTATGTTGGAGTGCCGGCTATATGAACTTCTGCTAGCTCAATATTCTTGCCAAGAAATATGTTCTCTTTTAAAATCAAATTTAAGCGATTGCCGTGCACTTAGACGAGTTGATTCGACTGATGTTATTCATTCGACGTGATTGTGAGGGCGCCCATCTCTGTTGCAATTGAGAGTAAGATTAGGGAGACAGAATCGACTTACCAAATTCACATAAAAGGGATGCAACGGGTTTTTAAGCGAGCATTTACATCAACAAATCATATTTATAAGAGCTTGCCATGTTGATTTCTCAAATAAAACCATCATATGCTATTCTTTAAAAAAACCAATGCCCTTTATATCTCTAGGATTTTGAGACTTTGTCGGACTCTTTTAAGTAAAAATCGACCTTTGTAACAACTTATTGAGTCTTTTTAATAGATTGGATAAATTATATATATATATATATCTTTTAAATTGAGACTTGGCTCTAAATAAACCTCGTTTTGAAAGATTGCAGATTCTCTACCCTAAACAGAAAGCGCCTACGCAATATACTTTCCTAATCGTTTGGTAAAACAAAATGATAAACAAATGCTTCAAAAAGGTTAGACGTAGAAATTCCTTCCCATTTCGGTCAACATTGACTGTGACATTCTCGTTAATAACTGTTGTCAAAAAGGTCTGAAAGTCGCGCCGCCTATAAACAGACTAAAGATATCTGGCAAAAGCTTGATGTCGATGTTCTTCAACGGAGGAAGGGCAGAGCACCGCATGTGAAGAAAGGCAGAGAATTTTCCACGCAATTATTCATGTGAACATCAAAGAACTGAACTCATGGATGACGTCATAAATTACTCTCGTTTTTCCTCTCGAGTTCCTCCATGTTTCCCATTAGTGGGTCCAAATCTAATGTTGGTGGACCTCTCAATAGACCGAGAAATCTCACTGGGGCCTTGGCTCTTCTTGATTGGTTTGGTTGGACCAAACATTTCCACGAAACGAGGATGTTCACACTCTTGACGAGGGAGACCCACCTTGCCACGTGTCGATCAGTGAATAGAGTGATCTACCGCAAAAATCCGAAAGCAACACGGAATCTTTGCAAACATCTTTGAATCTCCAAAGCATACAAGTGTACCGTAGTTTATTTCCTTTAAATTAAAGAATGTTTTATTCCGTTTAAGAAAAAGAAAGAAAAAATCTCAAATAATGTTGCGAATTATTTATATTCTCCACAGAAAAATTGTGGTCTTTTTATTTTATTTTATATATTGTTCTAGCAAAAATTACACACGGCCGGCTCTTGCTTTTCTCAACGACCCCCCTTTGCCCTGCCCAACCGGGGACGGCCAGTGACTGGACGACCTAGACGCCGCGGTCCACACGCTCGCAGAGCCACCACCGGCACCGGCCGCACGCAACATGCCGGCCAAGTAATTATCCAAATCATCAGGGGCGAATTTGACCACCGAATCTCCCCTCGGACAGCTGTCGTAGAGTCGCCGATAAGCGGGCACGAGCTTCTCCGCCAGCGAAGACGCGATCTCGTCCCTCAGCTTCTGGTCGGGCATGGTCCATCCCGCCTGCTTGGCCTGAACCTCCTCCAGCGCCGCGTTGAACTTCCTCAGCGATTCCTTCGCCTGGCCGGAAGATATCTTGACGGTGAGATCGGCCAATAATGAGAAGACCTTGCTCCATCCCATCCGCTCGTAGTTGCTCGCATAGAGCTTCACCTTCGACTCGTGCTTCTCCACCCAGTGCTCGCCGAGGAGGTGCCTCAAGTTGGACCGAGCCACCTTGTCGACAACGTACTGGAGGTTGTTGGCGAGGAAGAGGTAAGAGAGTGCCACGTCCTTGTACCTCTCGGCCTTCACGTCGAGCTTACACAGCAGGACGAGAACGAGCCACGCGAATATCGCTGACGCATTGCTGTCTCCGGCAGTGACGGAGGCGGCGGAGTCGCAGCCGGCAAAGTAGGAGCCTGGGAACCCCCGGTGCTTGGGGCTGCCACCGACGGGCCAGTCGGCGAGTATGTCTGTGAGGACACCACCATAGTCGGCGAGCAAGGCAAGGTAGCTCATGACGTAGCGCGTCAGCGGGTGGATGCCACCACTGGGGACTGCTGACTGCTTGGAGGAGTCTTTCTGCATGGCCGACTCAAAGTTGCCGAGCGTCACGCGGACCGCCTCACCAAGCTTGATCAGTGAATTGATTGCATGCGATCGGACGGCGGACGTCACAGTGGAGGAGAAGATGGAATTGATGTCTGGCCAGAGGTTTGCGACGGCCTGGTAGAGGTCGAGCAGGTGGAATATTCTCTCAGGAGACCTCTTGATAGCCTTCGCGGCCCCCTCTGCAAACCCAAACAGCGCAAGCGCGGCATCATGGGCAACGTGGGAGAAGACGGACTCCCTGAACGAGGCGGAAGCAGCAATGAACACCTGGTCGCAGAGTATTTTCTCACCATAGAAGAGCGTCTGGACCGCTGGCTTCGCAGCGCTCAGCCAGCTCGTGACCTTCACTTTCAAAACCTCCCAATCCATCTTCTGCATTTTCCATGGGTCAATTGGCCTCTCAAACCCTAGATGATACAGTTCCTCGTCAACGACTGATTTTCGCACGATTTTGTAGACTTCGATGCACTCTTTTCCATACCCACAATCGATCATGCAGTCCGCAATGGCCTTTAGATCGGAAACCACTGCATTAGGAACTCTCTCCTCTTCCTGCATTACTGGCTCAGCAGCGGACTGCTTCGTAGGTAACTCGTCCTCCGACTCAGATTCAAAATCCGAGACGCTAGAAAGGTTAGAGGTTTGCGAAGACCGGCTTGAGACCGATTCGGCGTGGTCAGGATATGGGAGATGCGACGACAGGATCTGGTGGAATTCTTTGGAGAGCCGTCTCACTGCAATCTGCAGCAGTTCATGAGCCCGCGTGATCACGCCCGAGTTCGAGTCTTCACCGATGCAGTGGAGCATCGCGGAATGCAGGTCCTTGACACTGCTGAGGTAGAGCTCGGCTTCGTGGCGGCCCTCACGGAAGAGATAAGCTGCACCGGCGTATCTGGAGGTGGACGAGGATGGTGAGGGCTCGGAGTCGACCGCCCACTTTTCAATCAAGGACTCCGCGCTCGCAATTCGCTCCGCCATTAACGTGTCGGCGAAAGGGTCGCCGCCGCGCATCGATGTAGCGGGTCTCACGGCAGAGTCGGAGGGAGATGGCTTGAAGAAGATGGTCCTCATTCCTTTTCTCGGCATGTCTGGTGTTTTCTTTCAATGTGTGAAAATCTGCGTCTTCGTATCAGCTTCTCTGAACTCTGCAGATTTCAGAGAGGGAGGGAGAGAGAGGAAGAGAGTTGTGTTGCTGTGAGGGTTGATTTGAATGGTGAAGAGGGCTTGGAAGGGGGATATATAGAGAGAGGGGAAGGGAGACAGAAAGGGAGGATTGTGTACGGGTGAGGAAGGCGGAGACACTGTGGGAGGAAATTGGAGGCATTATCGAGTGAATCTCGTGACTTGAGGGATGTGTCGTCTGTGTGTGTGGGGATCGTGTGGAGAAGAGGGCTGGAACGCGGTTTAACGGCTACGTAACTGTGTCTTGCTTTCACATGGACTTACGCGGCGCCCACCGAAAGGACCCGCCATGGAAGCAACGCCACACGACTGTTTGCCCTTGAAATTTTTACAACAGCGCGCGATCTGCAGTCAAACCAAGTGGGGAAAGAGGACGAGTGGGGTCGACGAAGACTCTGCGGAGGAGCAACACGAGGTGACACGGAAAGGACGACCCGAGTAATCTTACTGTTAACGATCTCCTCTCTTCTTTTTCCTTCCATTTTCTCTGTAGCTGTGAAGTTTCCAGTAGACTTGGGATGCCTTTTGTAATCGTTCTGTTTTCGAAAATAATTTATAAATATTTTAAAGTATTTAATAATGATCCAAAATTTTCATTCTTAAAATAGAAAAAAAATAGAAATAAATTTGATAACAGTATAAAATTTCTTTTTATTAATATTTTTAAATATTTTAATATTTCTTTTTTTCTATTTTTCTATTTTTCTTCTTCTTCTTCTCCTTCTTGGCCATGCTGACGACGGTGGTCCTCGCCGGCCTTTTCCAGCCCTCGCCCAAGCCGACGAGGGCCGTCGTCGAGGCATGTGACCCTCGCGGGATCGGGCGAGGGCTGGATCCTAGCCGCTGGTAGCCTGGGCGAGGGCCGCACTCGTCGCTAATGGCCTGGTCGTCGGGGACCCTCGCCTGTGGCCAACGAGGTCGTCGGTCGCTGGCCACCGGCTAGGAAAGAAGAAGAACATGAAAGAAGAAAAAGAAAAAGAAAATCTCTTCTATTTCTGATTCTTGTTCCATCGATTCTTGATTTTATGCCAAAATTGATTCTAGGAACATATTTGTGCCCGGGAACAAAAAATTTATCAAACGAATTTCTATTTTTTATTTTATTTTCGAGAACAAAATAATAAAATCAGTGATTATTTGACAAGTTACTAAATACACTCTTAATTAATAAAAGGCCCGTGATGACGGTCATGATGACGACTGTGGCTGGAAGCTGGAAGCACGATCAAGCCCTCTTGATGTATGTACTTTTTGCGTGACGACAAAGGCCGCATAAACGAAAGTAAATTTGTGGGACCATTCTTATTAAGAGACAAATTAAGGGACTTGGAAAATTTTCAATTTCTGTTAATAATATACGAGAAGGAAATTATAGGGTCCGGAATATGGATCGGTACATACCGTCGTTTTCCTTAAAAGTGCGGCTTTGGTATAATAGAATCGGGAAATGATGTGGTTCTGATCTTTATATCGATTGTAAAATAAACAAGAAAAGCTTACCTATTGTAAAACGAATTTCGACGCTAATTCCTAATTCCTACTATTCAATGAAAAATCATAACGGTATTAACTACATTTATGAGTATATGAAACACAACGGTGATGTTTTTAGGCATGCATACGATTCTTCACATCTTACATCGTTAATTGATTAAAGAAAAGATATGAAAAAAAGTGTGTATTTACCTCGCTCCAAAAGTACGTGAATTTTTTCCGTATATTCAGAAAACGTGTGGGAGACGGAAGTTTTTTTATTTAAATCATTGACGTTTGTGAAATAGTCTACTAACGGAGAATTGAACTCAAGAACCCCTATTATGATAATTGATACCATGTGAAAAATTTATGCAGTCACTGCTAACTGTTATAAAAGTTTAAGTTGGTACACGAAGACGTGGTTTGCAATTTAGATGGTTCAACACTCAACAAATACTCTTTTAACCTTCATAGATTAGGTGAAAAGCAGGTCATAACACAGGGAAGTGGCTCAAAACAAGAAATTATTTGTATTTGTCACGTCGGAGACAACATCCTATTGTTGGACATATTCTTTTTTTTGCGTTCCTTGAAATCAGGAATGGATCACACTAAGTCAACATTATCTGAATTATTGACTCCTGCGGAGTGCAGATTAGATTGAATCCTGCTAGCTGAATATTCTTACCATGAAAAGTGCACTCTTAAAATTCAAATTTACATGCATACATATGTATTTGTCTATATATATATGTAAATGTAGATGTGTATATATATATTTATATATATATATATATATATATATATATATATATATATATATATATATATATATATAACGTAGCAAAAAGTTAAATTTTGTTACAAACACCATTATCTTTTAAGTGCTTCCCGTACACTCCAACGAGTTTCCTGTAATTTAATTGAACTCATGCAATTCATTCGACATCGTTGCGAGGTGCCCATCTCTGTTGAAATTAAGAAAGTCCATTAAGCATTAAAACCGAGAGGAAAGGGACAAGTGGTCGTCGACAAAGAGTCCGCAGCTAACAGGCATGCCGCTTTGCTGATAAAGGGATTGGGGTTAGGGTCGAAGAGTACCGGGTCCAGGATTTGATCTCCATGAGTATTGCACATATATATACATCGTTATGGGTCGGAGCAATACAAGGTGAAAGCCCGACTTGCGGAATCTACAGCTAATAGTCTCCTGATCTTTTCCTTAGTTTCTCTGTAGCTGGGACCGACTCTTCACGACCCGCGGGCTTAATGTACCCAGAAAGATTCGTGCTTTTGTTCTCAAGTGAGAAACCTGTTTGTTGATTAGTTGACTTCGCTGATGAAGACTCGTGATGACGGGTATGATGTCGACTAAGTAATTTTTTGAATGAAGACAACAAAGTCCGCGTAAGAGAAAGTTAAACCAATACTCATTTGTAAAATTTCTGTGGAACCTTTTTATGGAGAGAGAAGTCAAAGGGCTTGAAAAGGTTTGGACCTTTGCGAGTAATGTCCGGGACGGAAATTATACGGTTTGAGATACATACGAGTAATATACGGATGAGATACGGATGAGTAATGCACGTGGAAGAAGTTCGGCGTTACCATATCATAGAAGGACTAAAATGATGTGACCACAACTTCATATTGATTATCGACCACATTATAGATAAGAAAAATTTATAAATTGTGAAAAGGGCTATTTGAATTACGAGGTTTTATAGAAAGATCGTATCTTATTATCGAAGTTTGTTTATCGATTCATATGAAAAATCATGAAAATATGATCTTTATTTACATGGATATGAACTATGAGAGTCATATTTTTCAGGCATATATACGAAGAATTTACAGTTATTGTCACATCAGAGACAAAATCCTAAGTGTTGGACATATGTAAAATGCACCATCTCACCCTTCTACATTGCTTTCCTTCAAATCAGCAATGGATCATACTAAATCAACAGTATCTAAGTTATGACTTGAGCGAGAGTGCACACTCTTTTGACTTCTGCTGGCTGAATATCCTTTCCAGCAAAATTGCTCTCTTAAAAATCAAACTTTCATATGTACATAGCGTAGCAAAAGTTCACCATTTTGTTCAGTAAAGTTTCCCATAATTTTACTTAACTTATGTCATTCGTACGACGCGATTGTGAGGTGCCTGTCTCTATTCAAATAAAGCATAAGATTAGGGAGATAATATCGACTTAAGAATTCGTATATAAACTAATGTGTCATATTATAAGCGAGTATTCTTGGTTGTTTGTTTGTAAAACAAACAAAATAGTGCTTTTCCTTGTCCAATATAGGAAAGTTTTGACCGTGTGGGCCACTATATTAGTGTGGATGTCTTCTAACTTGTTCAATTGAAGACGATGGGCTGCGGCTAGATCACATAATACCCACGTGCGGGTGCGCGAATTAGGCATTCTAACAACATTTGGAAGAATTGTGTTCCTTCGGACATAACTACTTCACCTTTGGAAGATTTTATCTTTTCGGATATAACTCCTTCATCTTTGAAAGGTTGTATTTGTTCAAAGATCGCATTCAGTTCAAAAAGACTGCAATCTATATTCATATTTTTCAGTCTATTTTTACTTACTTTTGATACTACTTTCTCAAAACAATACAGCTATCTGTTCCAATTGTTTCCCTTGAGAAACCCTTGAGAAATACCATAATTGCTGTATGGTATTTTCATTCGAGACTTTGTTGTATCCTGGAGGATTTTTCCTAGTAACCATTAGCAACGTTGTGAGGTAAATAATTCCTTAAAGAGAGTGTTATCACGCCTCAAAGTCTGATTCCATTTTCTTCCCGTTCCGTTTCACGTGAACATTTTTCCCAACAAGTATTTATATAAATGGATCATATACATAAGAATTTGCTATATTTAGGCGCCTTTATAAATTGATTTCACAAATCAATCGTTATATTCATAATTTTCTTTCTAAAACCAATCATGGCCACCTAATGTCTCAAGAATTTTGAGACTCTCTCAAACTCTTTTAAGTCGATTAGAGTGGAAATACTTTAGAATTCAAAAGTAAGAATCGACTTTTCTTTACCGTTCACCATCGAGTCTTTTTAAACAACCGGATAAAAAGCGCGGGCCAAAAAAAGGGGACTTTGGCCCTAAATAAACCTCCTTTTGAAAAGCATGTAAAGTCTGAACTCCATGCTCCGGATAGGATGCATCTATGCAACATGCTTTTCTAATGTGGAGAAAGAGCAAAGCGCCGCAGGTGAAGAAAGGCAGAGAAATTTCCGCGTAATTATTCATGTGAACATCAAGAGCTGACTCATGGATGACGTCATAAATCACTCTCCGTTGTCCCTCTCTAGGTTTGTCTATGTTTCCCATTAGTGGGTCCAAATCAAATATGTTGGTGGACCTCTCAATAGACTGAGATTTCTCACTGGGGGCCTTGCCTCTTCTTGATTGGTTTGGCCAGACCAAACATTTCCACGAAACGAGGAATGTTTTGACCTTTTAGAGAGAGAGAGAGAGAGAGAGAGAGAGAGAGAGAGAGAGAGAGAGAGAGAGAGAGAGAGATTTTTCACCTAAAAAATGATAATAAAATTGGATATTAATGTTGGAAAACCATATGTTAAATACGCTATAGCAAGAGCTGAGGGGTAATTTTTTCCCTCTTTTTTTTGAATTTTTTTGTACATTAATGCTAGAGGTAGTGGGGTGATTTTGTCACATCCATGAAATATTTTAAAATCAGCAATTAGAGGCAATTCTTTAGAGGAGTAATAAAAGTTGAGTCGGGGCAAAATGACATTTAGTGAATTCGTGAAGAACAAGTAATAATCAGGGAACTATATATGTAGCGATTCAACCATATGTCAAATCACTTGTACAAATACAATAATACAAGAGCTTTGGCATTCTGCGGGAGGATGACTTTCTAGGAACATCTTGGCACAATTATTGTGGGGGTCCATGAAGTTATTGGGAAATTTCCATGACTTCATCCACATTATAATCTCTAAATCCGAGTGTTGGCGTAAACCCATCTCGAATTACTTGTAAAATAGGCTATGATCATGCCTGACGTATTTATAAATAGGAATTCTTTCATTTTTCTTTTGATTCTTCTTGTCTTTCATGATTGTGCACATATCTCTACTGACTGTGCATAATTTTCGACTCATCGTAATTGATTGTAATTCATATTCTAATATCTTGTTACCTTAGATAGCCATCTTGTAATACAAAAAAAAAAAAATTAAATCCTCTTCTGCATATTCTTATTTGGTTGGGTGTGGTAAGGACTATGGTAAAATTAAGCGGCGCAATCTTTAATGGGTGACATGGAAGTACCACGTAGAGCTGGGTAGGCGAATATCAAGGATTATCATATGGTTTATAGATCAAGTAAAGCAAGTGTAGTCGGATCATTTATTATTTGTATCTTAAAACAAAGTTCACATAATTAATAGTTCATGATGTTGGCTCATGAAATTTATATATTAAGTCGATTAAAGACTTAAAATGCATGAGGCAAAAATTTTATAATTTTAAGTACCTAGACAATAGACATCTCCAGATTCGGCAACATCTGCAGAGCCGCCAATCTTGAACTCAATCTTCGCGTTGCCAATGTTGAAAAAGGAAAGTTTGGCTTCTGATAAGTCCAACATAGTCACAGTCTAATGGGTTTTTTCTGCCCTCTGAGATTTTTGACCAAGTCAAAATATAAATGGTGGGACCCACAACAAAAAAAAGGAAAAGGAGAATAACGAGCAAAAAGTGGACGCCTTCTGTTATAAAAAGCCGAGAGCACGCATAGGAAGAAAAGAAAAGAGAGGATAGAAGAAAAGGAAAAAAGGGAAAAAAGAAGAAGAAGGAAGAGAGAGAGGGCCTTGCGCGATGATGCCATGGACGCCTCACTAAGCCGATTCGACTTCGTATCACAATGCTTGGTAAGTAGTCGTGCCTCTCGTTCATCCAATTGGAGTATTTTTTGGGTTAGGGCTCAAATTTCGAAGTTTGGTGAAATTCAAGTCATGTAGTCTGATTTTTTAGTTATTGAGTGGCGTATATATATAAAATTGGTAGCTTAGGGTATTGTGGGGCCGTGGGATTTTACGGAATTAGATTTGAACTTCCGGTTTGCTCGATATGAATTTTCTAAGTTGGCCGTGAGGGGTGAACAGTGCGCGACAGCATCTTTCCATGCCTATTTTTGTCGCCTTTGGCCCGCTTTTGGGTCAGCCAAGCTGGGGTTCTTCTATTACTCCGAATGAGCTTTCTTTTGACTATAAGCTCGCTTGAAACGGAGTTTGGTGGAGAAAGTTATGGCACAACCAAGTTTCGCGTTCAAGTTCCTCGTTGCGGACGGATTTGAGTAATCGCTTTGGGTGAGCGATTTGTGGGCACCTTTTAGTCGTTATGTTAGCGTCTAAGCCTAGTTTAGCTGAGTCGTAGTTGAGGTATTGTTTTACTCGATTTTAACGTTATTTCTCTCTTATTTGTTAGGATTGCGAGTTCGACAGATCGAGTAATCTTTGTCGTTTGTGTGACATTCCGAATTTCGACCCACTTGGGATCTGTGAAATGCATGATTTCATTAATGCACTTGTAGTAAATCTCGCCCAGAACTGATCATTCTTGGGATACTAATCATTAGGGAAAGGCTAATTAGGGAATTAGATTCGCGCGACCAAAGTACTTGATCATGGACTGACTTTCGACCATAAGGATTGTCGAGGTGATATTTTGGACCAGTATAGATCGATCCAAGGATGGTCACGGATCGATTTACTAATATCATATAATTGGAACGCGGGTGATTCCGTCTCGCCATAATATGATATTAGTGAACGATCCTAAACTTATTCCGAACGATCGCGTTCTTAGGAACTAGTGATTGATCCTCGCAATTACATGACAATCGAGGTCGCCCTGGTTCAAGTCAACTTAAACGTGACTCGATTGAGTATCGACCACGGGTCGAATATACGAATTTTTCCCGAAAGCCGCCCGTTAGTTTGAGATACGCTCAAGTCGCGTTTGTTTGGATTTAGCCATAATTAGAATCCAAGTTTGGGTTTCAGATTCCTCGAATGTCATGACAATTAATTGGACGACGTCGTCATTAGCGTAGTTAATCTTAGAATTTGTTGGATTTGTCGGGAAAGATTGAAATTGGACTGGGAGTGGAAAATTACCATTTTGCCCCTGGGACTTTGTGAAGGCTAAGTATAAAAGTGGAAGGGCATATTGGACATTTCACCCTCACTTTAGAAGCCACAATTTTTGGACAATTTTGCCCCTACCCTTTTTGTTTAATTCTCGTTTTACCCTTGGATATTTTTTGTGAGAGTTGATCTTGGCCGTCGATTTTAAGATAAGGTTGAATCGTGGCCGTCGGATGGAAAGTTGAGAGGAGGGTAGAATGGTAATTTTGCTTGGGGGTAGACACCAATTATTGACTTGATTTAGTCTTTCTTTTCTCTCTCTTTCTTTCTCTCTCCCCTCCATTCTCACGCCTCACCTCTCTTCCTCTCTACCTCTCTCGGCTGATTCCCCCTCCCCCTCCTCTCATGACCGTGGCCATCCGGCCAAGCCCGCCATTGCCGCCGTTCAGCCGTCGTGCGTTGCCGCCGCCGCCGCTCACCGGAGTTGTTGCCTTGCCGAAGCCTTTGCTGCTGCTTGTTGGGCTTTTTTTGCTTAGGTTTAAGGCAAGTTTCTCTCTAAACTTTGATTAGGGTGATGGGTTGTCGATGGATTGGTTTAGGGGTTGATTGAGGTGATTATAGGTAGATTAGAGGAGAGCTTGATCTTTCATTGTGTTCTTGGATGTTCAAATGGCTGTGGCATGGTAGTTTGAACCTTGTGGAATGAATTTTGAGGGTTGAAGTTCGGTGGTTATCAACTAGGACTCGGATCCTTGAAGTTTGGGTTGAATCTCGAAATTGTGTTTTCTGTACCCTCCCAGTTTACTATTTTTGTGGAGATTTTTGGAGGCCGAATCAGGGGTGGTGTCCTCCACGAAAGTTTTTCCTCACATCCTGAGGTATAACATATTTTAAATTTGAAATTTTTGGAGGCCATTTGAGTTGCACGAAAACCCATTTTCAGACCGTCTTAAAATTGCCCGGAACACTGTTCATCCTGACCTTCTTGTCTTTCCGAATTTTTATAATATTTTCCAGATCTATTTTCAATAAACTTCCTCGCAAAAGTTGTTGGCGACTTTCCTTTCTATGACATATAAAAATTTCAAATCTTTTCAAGGTGATTTGGGTGTTGAAAGAAATGTATTTTGAGGACAAAACAGTCTGTTAGAGCGAACTGATTCTGGTCTGGTTTCGAGGGACGAAAAGGCATGGTTGCAGATTGAACCGGATTTCGTGTTCTTCATAAGAAATGTTTATCAAGATGTTTTTTTTATGATATATCCAAAATTTAGAATTTTTGGAGTTCATTTACTATTTATTTTGATGGGATTTCGGTCACTGTGTAAACTGCCTAGATTTACCCCGATTCTATGGATATTTATTTTTATGAGCGGAATGGTGGGGGTGTCGAGGTTGAATAGTTGCTGCCCTCGTGACTGGAATTGATGCTTAACGTGTGTTGTATGCGTTGATTTGAGGGTGGTTGGTGATTACCTAATTGTGACCGTGTGCGTGGAAGGGCTTGTGGATTTAATTGAGAGGAAGTGGCTTATTCGGCATGTGCGTGTGGATTGATCAGTTTCGTGGCTGGATGGTGCTTGATTGACGACTTAAATGGTGCTTATGCACGTGTGACTTGATATTGAATACTCGGTGTCCATGTTGATTGATGTTGTTGAGATCGAGGATGATTTGGTGGTGATTATGTGTTGTGATTGAGTTGACATGCATTATGTGAGCATGTGATGTGACTAACACGCGAAGTGAATGCATTGCATGACATGAGTGATCACTAAAAGCCCTGAGGGGTAAAGATAAAAAGTGGTGTGATGGTGTGCTCGTGTGATCACCTAATCCCTAATGCGTTTTACGCGGGGAATTGAACCCGTCCTGAGGCGTGTTACGCGAGACGATGCTCGGTTTTACCGGAAGACCGCCAACCCGATGCGTTTTACGCGGGTTGTGCCGTAAAAAGGAGATGGTGTTGCGCCTGAGGCGTGTTCGTTTACGCGGGCTAGAGACACTGAGCCTGAGTTGTTTTGACGTGGGCTATAGAAGTGTTGTTCAACCTGATGCGTGTTACGCGAATTGTGTTGTAAAAAGGGAGATGGTGTTGCGCCTGAGGCGTATTCGTTTACTCAAGCTAGAGACATTGAGCCTGAGGCGTTTTGACGCGGGCTGAAGAAGTGTTGTTGGACCTGAGGCGTGTTTACGCGAGTCATGAATAATCTGGGTACGTGTGATGCATAGTGCTTGATTATGGGGTAAAAACTGCTAGGCATGGTATGGAATGTGCCCAAGTAGGTTTTGCCTTATAATCGAGGCACGAGCGACTGTGATGCATTGATGCATGTGAATTCTTATTACATGCATGCGCGACTGTGATGCATTGATGCATGTGAATTCTTATTACATGCTTTGGTTATGTGATATGGTTAATGCATCATTGTGGCATATATGTGTGTCTAAGCCAGGTAAGAATGCCTGTGATTGTATTATGGCACGTTTATTTCAGTAGACTTGTATGTTTAGGACGATCTGGAGGCAACGTATTCTCCTAAACGAGGTTTAGGGAGCTTACTTGCTGAGTTATCTCACCCCCCGTGGTTAAACATTTTCAGGTTTGGGGTGACAAATAGACGTCTGTATGTGCGGTTGGTGGCAAGTCGCCCTCAGGTTGGCCTTATAAATTGTACCGAACTTGGGTTAACAGTGTGTTTATGAAAGTTGTTTTGTTGATGTGTATTCCTGCTGTCTCCTTGGCTGCCTCAAGTTATATGTGATGTTGATAGGGTGTTATAGTTCGCTTCCGCATGCGTATGATCGCTAGACAATCGATCGGGTCGGCGATGCGTCCTGGGACATCGCACTCTTAACGACCGTCGTGGGATGTTCACGTGGTCGCCGGGTTCGGGGCGTGACAGTTTGATCGTAGGCATTTTCAAGTTAATCTTTTTTTTGAATTTATAAACTCATGTTTTGAAAGTAATAAGGATTTGAGTATCGTACGAGTTACTAAAGCATGCTTGTTGCATAAAATCCTGAATCAGGCAATTACTACATTTTAATATTTTAGAAACAATCCTTACCAAAAAAAAATATTTGAGAAACGTTTTATGGAAGATGTTATTAAAGATTATACATATCGATTTGTGAATTATGTTTATGAAATGATATAAGAAACTCTTTAAGAAAAAGTATTTCTATTGGATGAACTGAGTTACGAAAGATCACGTGATTAGTTTGGGAAACGTATTGTGATTTATGAAATTGATTATGAAATGGTTTTAAAACCATATTGTGATTTATGAAATGGTTTATGAAATGATTTCTAGATTTGGCTTTGTGGGTTGTGGATGATATTGTCGTGGATAAGTATTTGATGCTCAATATCTTTGTAAACCCAATGATGGGTTATGGGTATGCACATACTAGTCTAGGATGTCCTTGTGGGCCGAGCGAACCATTGGCTTATACTAGTTGGAGACCTTGTCAAGGAGGAAATCTTGGTCGCCCTTTTACGGGGCGTTATCCGTGATCATAGTTAGATTTCTGAGCATGAGATTGGCCAATGGAATGGACTATTGGCATGTGTTTTTCGATGAGATTGGTCAATAGAATGGACCATTGACGTGTGTTTTTGACGAGATTGGCCAACGAAATGGACCATTGGTGTCTGCTTTGATATTATTGATTTAAAATGAGCATTTCTATTGTGAAAATGTTATGTTAAAGTAGTATATAATGTATTTTGACTTTACGTTTATTATATGCTGGAGTTGGGTTAATAAGCTTTGGTTTGGTCTTACAACTATATGCATAATGGTTGCTCGATCTCCTTAGAAGAGATACGCACTACTTACTGAGCTGTGGTTGCTCACCCCTCTCTTTCTCCAATCTTTTCAGGTTTTTTGGTTAGTAGCCATTAGAGCGAGAGCATTATCAACGGGGATCTTTTGGAGTTTGTTCTTTGATTGTGGTTTCAGATTGCGTCCTTCAGGTGGAAGGACGGCCGTGTCATCCCTCGTCCTGGTAGGTTTCGGGGTGTGACACTTTGCATTAGTTTATTGGTTTCATGAAGAGGTGCTTGACAATTCAATAGCAGTGGTGTGCATCAAATCTGATTCATCTACTTCTTTTCTAGCAACAGGCTGCGGAGGATGAATCGGGAGAAGATGATCCCGGCGATACTGAAATTGACATTTGAGATGGCCTTCGTTATTCTTGTGCTTCTCTTCACAGCGAATTGGTTAGCCAGTGCAGAAGAATCACCTCTTCAAAGTCTGGCTTGGCCTGGCTGTTCGGACACATGTGGCAATCTGACAAACATTCCGTATCCTTTTGGAATTGGACCCGGCTGCTTCTTGGATCCCAGGTACGAGATCGATTGCCAGCAAACCCGTAGTCCGGTACTTAAGAATTTGAGCGTGGCGGTGTTAGATATTTCGTTACCGAGTAGTTCAGAATCCCCAGGCCTCATTAAGGTCAGCCAGCCAATATCGTACTCGCATCTCAATTGCACGACCAAACTACAAAACGACGCCCCGGTGGACTTAAGGGCCAGTAATAGCGTTTTCAAGTACTCCCAGAGTCAAAACTATCTTGTTGCCGGAGGTTGTGACAGCTTGGCCTTGATGGCTGGCGCCAATACCCCATGGGCAGTTGTAGGATGCAAGTCATCATGCGGCAGAAATGAGACTCTCGGATTTGACCAGTGCTCTAGTGGTATCGGTTGCTGTATGACTTCGATCCCCGATGAAATCAGCGAATACAGCATGGAATTCAAAACTCTTGATGGCCAAGCCATAGGGCCAGGGGATGCAGAATGCAGGTATGCCTTTTTGGTAGAGAGAACTTGGTGGTATAAAGCCAATTTGAACAATTTACCGCTAGACGTTCCAGTGGTCCTCGAATGGGCAATCACTAACTATGAGGATGAGCTGCTGAGCAACCAAGAAAATAAGCACGGCAATGACAACTCCGCCTCCTGCCGTACGTACTCGACGCCCGGGGTTCCTAGCCTAACATATTGTTCATGCAACCAAGGCTACAGAGGGAATTATTTTCTTCCCCAGGGATGCCAAGGTGAGATTGGATGGTTCACTTATATTTTGTATCGTAGCCTTTATCTATATCCAAAGTCATGTAGGACGTTATGCTAACCTAACATATTGTATCTTTTTGCTTCTTTCTTTGGTCCCGTCCATCAGACATCGATGAGTGCAAAGAAAAACCTGACCTCAACTGCCGAGGGAGGTGTGTGAATCGACCAGGGTCATACAACTGCGTCGACAACAAGATCATGGCCATGATAGGTACGTCACTCCTTGCTCCCTTTTTTTCCTGGTCGCGGAATGTGATTGTTTCTATATACACCCAATTTCATTTGCAGGAGGGCGAAAAATATTGCCACATCTGCTAAATTTGCTTGTGCTCTCATAATCCGTGGATTCAACAATGCTTTTAACTTAATTGTGTGTTCCTAGTCTATGCATGTAACAATTTGCTTGTATTTTCATTTCTCATCTATAACTTATGCATATTTTTCGAGGATCTTTCGAAATATTAGAATTTTTAAATAACAAACTACGCCTTCATTTAACAGCTTAAGTTTTTAGAACAACTGGCAGTGGTTCCACAAAATCTCACATGATATCAAAGTTGGAGATTTTGAGTTTGAATTTTTCAGGCCAATTTGTCTCCCCAATTAAATATGTCCACGCTTAGTACTAGGTATAAAGACCAGACTAAGCATGAGAGGAAGTATTAGACTGTTTAAATAATAAATCACGTCTTCATCTAACAGTTTAAATTTTTAGAATAGTTGGCAGTGGTCTCACAAAATCTCACACGAACTATTTTGCAGAGTACTTAAGTCTAGGAGTTGGTTTCTAAAGCAATCTCTGTCGACTTTTTCTCACACAGGTATGGGCACGGGTGTTGGAGACATACTATTATTTTTTCTTTTTTTGTGGTTGTACAAATTCATCAAAAGAAGGCGCGAGGCAAAGCTCAGGCAAAAATTCTTCAAACGTAATGGAGGACTTGTGTTGCAACAACGCCTCTCTTCTATCGAAGACAATCACACGGAGAAAGGCAAGCTATTCACCTCAACGGAGTTAGACGCAGCCACAGACCATTTTAACGAGAACCGAATACTGGGTAAGGGTGGTCAAGGAACTGTTTACAAGGGAATGTTGATAGACGGAACGATCATTGCGGTCAAGAAATCCAGAGTTGTCGATGCAAGACAAGTCCAACAGTTTGTCAATGAGGTCGTAATTCTCTCTGAAATCAATCACAGAAATGTTGTTAAGTTATTAGGATTTTGTCTAGAAAACGAAGCCCCTCTACTGGTATATGAATTTGTCCCTAATGGAACTCTCTACCAATGTCTTCATGATCCAAACCAAGAATTTCCCATCTCGTGGGAGATGCGGTTACGAATTGCCAATGAAGTTGCCGGGGCTCTTTCATATTTGCACTTTGCTGCTGCCATACCGGTTTATCATCGTGATATCAAGTCATCGAATATACTTTTGGACGAAAAATATGGAGCCAAAGTCGCAGATTTTGGAGCTTCCAGATCAATTACCATCAACCAAACTCACTTGACCACAATGGTGAGAGGAACCTTTGGATACTTGGACCCGGAGTACTACCAAACAAGTCAATTTTCAGACAAGAGTGATGTCTATAGCTTTGGGGTTGTCCTTGTTGAGTTACTAACCGGAGAAAAGCCAATTTCTCAAGGGAGGGCGGAAGAGGGTAGAAATCTAGCCATGTACTTCGTCATTTCGATGGAGGAGAACCGCTTATTCGATGTTCTTGATAAAGAAGTATTAGACCACAGCGAGAAAGGAGAAATCATTGCAGTGTCCAACTTGGCGAAAAGATGTTTAAACCTTCACGGAAGGTACCGGCCTACGATGAAGGAAGTGGCGATGGAATTGGAGCGAGTGCGATCACTACAGAATCCCGTGGTCGTTCAGCAGAAAGACAAAGAGATCGATCGCATTAGAAATGGATCTATCCGTGCTTCGGGTGCGGTCTCCACATTGATGCTATCGAAAGGAGATGTAGAGCTGACTTGGTGGGAGGAGGATCAATCCCTCTTATATGATTTGCCGAGATAAAGATGCGTTTCGTTGTTTGTGTCCAATTTTGTTATGGAGTGATGTTGATTATACTAGGAGGTGCACAGAAATGACATACTAAATGCATGCACCATTTTGATATACTCTTTGTATATATGATGTTGTTGAAGACTATATTATCTCTTTTTGATTTCTTGTTAGTCTAATTTAGCTTTTCACTAGGGTTTAGTGTCGTAGATATATCAGAAGTTTTACCCAAGTGCATGTTTTTTGTTGCACATATCAAGGACGGAAAGTAACTTTTTGGATTTTTAATCTTTTTAATTTCGCGTTATGTTATACTCATCAGGTGCATTCAAACGCTTCACAAGTAGATTTGACCATTTAAAGTCCATAAAAGTTAAAAGCAAAATCCACCAAAAATCCTAACCTATACCCACTGAAATACATTTACCTTAAACTTTTTTCTGTAACACCAAAAATCCTAAAGTTGTACCTGTATGACACATTTACCCTTCGTCAAGGTCCCGTCAGTAAGTACTGTTAAAAATCTAGTGTTGACATGACGCCCACTTTGCTTAAGTGAATTAAAAACGTTATTTTGACTGAAAAATCAGCTGACGAGGGAGAGTAAATGTGTCATATAGATACAAGTTTGGGGTTTAGTTTAGGGTAAATGTGTCACGGCATGCATAATTTGGGGTTTTTGATGTCACAAAAAAAGTTCAGAATAATTGCGTTACGATAAGCATATATTAGGATTCTTTTGTGACTTTTCCTAAGAAGTTATGATACGCGGTGAAATATTATCGGGTCGTTGTAAGTTAAAATCTACTTGGGCAAATTCCTAAGTTCCGTAGCCTTGGCTCGATTTGGCCTGACAAAATGTAGATCCAGGCGACAAGTGACTCGACAGTGGTGCCCCAACAGAGGCTGCGGACCTCAGCGAGACTCATGATATGTAGTGAAATATTATTTAATTTCTTTTTTGTTTTTTTTTCCAAGTGTAGAGAAAAAAGTGAGAGCAAGAAAATTTGTAACTTTCTAATTCATGGATAAATACATTCAGAATTCTAAAATTTCAAAGCAATTTTGAAAATGAATGTCCGAATTGATAATATAACAAGAAATTTCATTATGTCATCCAAATTCTTTATCAAACAAAAATCGTGGGAATCCTTTTTCAATTGTTTGGATTGTAAGAATTTTGGCCTTACAAAAAACAATACTTCTCACAGTCGGCGGCAGTCAGCAAATGGCGACTCGGGACGGTGGTGGCGACAACGGCAGCGATCGGGAGCGGCGACATGGATTGGTTTTCATCCAATTGATTGATTAATGGCTCAATATGTTCAAAGCCCAAACCATTTGGGCCATTGGGCCTAATAGTCGTAATGGTCGAAATTATCGCAGATTGCACACCTTTCTCTACTACATGGGAAGAGCTTTTACAAAAATACTAAAGCATGTTCAATTTAGACTTTAAAATGGTCCCAAATCTAACCGTGGAAAGAGAAAAATTACGTCGTGTCTTGAAAAATGATGAAAAAAACATACAATTTTACACGTTAATATATTTACATCGGAATACATTTTGGATTTTTCGTGCTAGAAAAAGTCGAGATATACGAGCGGAAAAAATTATAGAAAATAATAAAAATAAAAGTCACTCCAAATAATTTGGATCTACTTAAGATATTCAAGGTCGGGAGCATCATTTTGCAACAAGTACTGTTAAGGCTTAACTGAAAGTGTACCCAAATGAGTAAGAGACTGGACTTCAAGATTTTTATACTGAGTAAGAGCTCTTGAGTTTAAATTTTTCTGAGCCTCTATTTCCTTCTATTGATTCCATGCTTTGATTTTAGGCTAAAATTCAACCTAAGTTTGAAGGAGAGTGTTAGGATTTTTACATATTAAACCGCGCATTCACCTAATAATTTACACCCTTAGAACAAGTGATTGAGATCCCATGAAATTTCACGTATGGAAAAATGATTTGATTTCCTGTATTCCGTTGCCTATTTCAAATAAGATAAAAGCCGTTCTCTAACATTCGCTACAAAAAAAACTGTAGAGCACACTTTTGAGAAAAGGGGAAAAACAAAATGGGTATAGCCCTTGGGACCCGAGTCCAGTTTTAGGTCTCATCCCGGCTGCAAAGGAGTTAGGTATGGGTGTCGGTGTCCCGAAGTTCGGGCCACAAGGACTCGGAACCAAGCGTTAGTTAGATGATGAACACCGATGAATTCACTAAATGATGAACGGTATTTGGGTGCTGCATGAATACGGATGTCATCAAACTCTAACTAACTTAAACTATATATAAAACCTCATAAACATTTTGACTCAAATGGTCATACTTGCTAATACTTATAAAACCATTCCTGATACTTCAGATCATTCTGTTGCATATCTTTTAATAGCCGGATTTACAGGCCAGCTCAAAGGATGGTGGGATAACTACCTGAATGAAGAGCAAAGGTCTCAAATTTTAAATGCTTATAAACTTGACCCTTTTGGCCAAAATATTCTTGATGAAGACGACCGGCCCATCCAAGATGCTATTAATACTTTAATATTCTCTATATCCCAACATTTTCTAGGAGACTCTTCTCATATTCTTGATAAAAATCAGGACCTTTTATCAAATATGAAATGTAGATCTCTAGGAGAATTTAGAGAATACAAAGAAATATTTTTACAAAGAGTTTTCCAAAGAACGGATTGTAACCAACCCTTTTGGAAAGAAAAATTTCTTGCTGGTTTACCAAAACTCATAGGAGAGCAAGTTCGCAATAAGATAAGAGAAGAATATTGAAATCAAATACCATAAGACCATCTTTCTTACGGCGAATTAACCTCTTATGTTTATAAAATAGGAACACAAATGTGTACCAATATACGCCTTCAAAAACAGATCAAAAAAGAACAAAAACTTTCCAAAAAAGGATTGGGAGATTTTTGTGCCCAATATGATCCATCTTTTGAATCTCTCGAAAAATCCAAGTGTTCAGGAAAATGTCTTTCTAAACAAAAAGATCAAAAGAAATCTTATAATAAACCTTATAAGAAAAATTTTAATAAAAAGTTTTCAAAAAAGAAAGAAAATGGCGATTTTGATAAAACCAAGAAACCAAGGAAAAATTTTAAAAACATTACTTGCTATAATTGTGGTAAAAAGGCCACACTACTCGATTTTGCAAGATCAGCAAAAAAATTAATGAGTTAGATTTGAATGAAGAAACTATTAATCAACTCAACCAATTGATGGCTGAGACTGATAGTAGTTCTTCTGATGAATCTAGTTTTGAAAAAGGTTTACAGATTTGTGATTTAGAAACCTCTTCATCTTCTGCTTCAGAAAGTGAAGATGAAGAAGCAACCAGTTTTGAAATAAACGTTTTGACAAAAGAAGAAGAAATTCTTTTGCAAACAATTGATCAAATCACTGATCCTGAAATAAAAATAAAATATTTGAATAATTTCCAAAAACCTAAGCCAGTTATTCAATCCGATAATCCTTATAATATTTCTACCATCCTCAGCAAGGCTAGGAAAGCGAATTTTAAACCCATTTCTATAAGTGATCTTACTCACGAAATCAATAAACAAAAGCAAGAAATACAGGATCTCAAAGTTGCCTAGATTATTATGCAAAATGACATTTTAGATATTAAAATGAAAAATTTAAAAGGAAAACAAAAGAAGAAGATTTTGAAGAAAATGATATTCCTCAACCTCCTTCTTCTTCTGATACAAGCTTCCTTTTAATGCTTTCTGAGATAACCACCCGAAAATGGATTATCAATATTTCTATAATAATCCAGAATGACTTTATCTTAGAAACAATTCTATAATAATCCAGAATGACTTTATCTTAGAAACAACAGCCCTTTTTTATACCGGTGCAGACCTCAATTGCATAAAAGAAGGTCTTATTCCAACCAAATATTTTGAAAAAACTTCTCAGTCCCTCAAATCAGCATCAGGGAATAAGCTAAATATAAGCTTTAAGATCCCCGAAGCCGAAGTTGTGAAAGACCAAATTTCTTATAAAACCCCTTTTCTTCTTGTCAAAAATATCAAACAAAATGTTATTTTGGGATCACCTTTTATCAATTTACTTCAGCCCTTTAAGGTTTCCGAAAAAGGAATTGAAACTAAAACTCTAGGCAAAACAATATGCTTTGATTTCATTTCAAAACTCCAAACCAGAAATTTGAATACTCTTCAAGAACATTCCATTTCTGAGATTAATTGTATAATCCAAGATAAAGAAACTCACCTTCAATTTCTTAAAGAAGATCTTGAATACAAGAACATTGACAAGAATCTTTCTGAAACAAGTCTTCAGAAGAAGATTTTCAGTCTTGAAAATCAAATCAAAGATTCCATATGTTCAAACATTCCTAATGCTTTTTGGTCTTGAAAGTGCCATATAGTAGATTTGCCCTATGAATCAGGATTTTCAGAAAAGGATATTCCTACTAAAGCTAGACCTTCTCAAATGAACCATGAAGTTCTAAATTTCTGTCAAAAAGAAATACAAGAACTTCTTGAGAAGAAGCTTATTAGGAAAAGTCAATCCCCTTGGAGTTGCTCAGCTTTTTATGTCAACAAAAATGCTGAACTAGAAAGAGGAGTTCCAAGATTGGTAATAAATTATAAACCTTTAAATACAGCCTTAAAATGGATAAGATATCCGATACCCAATAAGAAAGATTTGTTAAATAGACTTCATAGTGCAAAAATCTTTTCGAAATTTGATATGAAATCAGGCTTCTGGCAAATCCAAATTAGCGAAAAGGATAGGTACAAAACAGCTTTTACCGTTCCTTTTGGCTAATATGAATGGAATGTCATGCCTTTTGGATTAAAAAATGTCCCTTCTGAATTCCAAAGGATAATGAATGACATTTTTAATCCATGTTTTGATATCATTATAGTCTACATCGATGATGTTTTAATATTTTCTACATCCATCGAAAAACATTTTTGTTCAGAAACACCATCTATATTCCACTCATAAATAGCATCAGAAGAATATTTATTTTGAACTTTTGAAAACGTTTCTTCTGTGAGAATATCAGGAGGAGTGGCACGGGAATAATATAATTTTTTGGGGTCCTTCCAGGTAATACGATTTACCTCAGGAACGGATTCAGTATCAGATTTATCCAAAAGGTTGATCTGATTG